AACACTCACTGATGATGTCGACTACGATGCCGGCGAAACGTTTGAGAATTTACCAAGTCCACTGCCTCATGCTGGGAATTATGATAACTACTATGGAGGAGGACTTCGGACTAAGGGCGTTCTACTAAGTCCCCCTGACAACAAGACCAAGTTGCGACAACGAGGTCTACCCACTTCTTTAAAAAAGAAGTTTACTCTAACTGTAATAGGAAAAGAACATACTTTCAGTATTTAGCTAAGTATATTTATTAGCATACAATGGCCTGTCTTACTACAACTAGGCCCACAAATTCCCACCATAATTATATGATTATCGCATAAAATTAATTTGTCTAAGCCTTTTGTTATAAGCTAGGCATAATGAATTGAAAATACTAAATATTAATGGATAATGAAAATTTAGTTATAGCATGCTTTAAAGTTAGTCCTTAACTAGATTGATTAGATCAATGAAAAGTAAATATTTGATGCTAAGTGTAAGTGGAGAGTGAGAAAAAAAGATTATTTTTAAAAATGCAGAGTGATAAATCAAAAAGTTAAACCTATCGAATTAGGGGCTAGTTTTGATAACAAAAACCATGTGCCATGTCTTTTGCCTACTTCACTGTATTTTGATATGACAAACCAGACTAAGAGACAGTTTGCTTACACATTTCAAAGCAAAAGTAATTTTTATGCATAAATCCAAATGAATATTATTACATGTGCCCGAGTATTATTGTTGTATACCACTGACTTATATTGGAAAAAGACTTCAACAACTAATATTGCAGGATAAGGAATAAGATATCTACCCTTTTATCCCAGCTTTCACTCTTTAAATTATCTTGTAACATGGGTAATTGTCAATGCTTAATATACGTATGAAACTATTTGTACAATATAGCTTCCTCTTAGCAAGAGCAGACATATACAAATTTGGGCAAATAAATGTGAAATGGCTATTCTCCGCATGGAAGTTTATAAGATATTAGTAAGGAAATAAACATATTGAATAGAAACGTTTATGAAATGCATTAATTTTATTAATTAAAAAATATTAGGTAATTGTTTGGCCTTGTTTTTGCAACTTTTACATATTAGCAGGAAGGCCTAGATGAGAGAATCCTAACCGGGGTTCATAGTATGCATGATAATTTCTAGAATCGAACCTTGGACTTGGGACATTTGGGAATGTTCCAATTCCACGCTTCGATTCTGAAAATTATCTTGCATACTAAAGACCCCTGACAGGATGCGTTCCCCTAGGTTTTCCTGCCAATATGACCAAGTTCCATAAACGATGTCAAACAACTAGCATGCAACAGAAGGAGCAGCATCTATTTGGTCTTTATCCCTTCGATAAAAAATATTAAGTTTTTTACGATAGATAATAAAAGCAGCTTACCTATTTTCACTTTTAAATACTCCCAATCTATGATAATATTAAGTACTAAAAGTCAATAATGGCCCAAGCTAAGGATTTTCGGGAGTTCCTAAAATTCTGATTCATTAATTAATTTATTTAAAAATCTTAAGCCTCTCTGTCTGAGTCTTTTGATTGAGAATTTGGACTTTAATAAGTTGTATTCATTGTAATAAATAAATTATCAAAAAAATTGAAGTTAGTTCATCAAAGGTGTTGCGTTTGGCATAACATATTAACGCTTTATGGCTAGTTAGCTTGATCCCTCCTTTTGGCTATATTTATAATAAAGTTAAATATCTAAATCTAAACACAAACTCAACGTAATTATTCTCAGCTGTTATCTGTCTAATTCCTTGACGAATAAGAAGTCTCGGCACTTTAAAAATATTCAAAGACACGAAAGGGCATTGCTATATGTTTTACTATGACTCAGAGTCATGTAAAAAAGTGCACCATTCTTTACAGTTTAAATTTAACCATTTCGGGATTTATTACGTCTTCATCCCTTAACACATCCTCCAATCATAATAGCTTTGAGCTATTCTAACCTATAGAAAAGAGTTTGCCTAAATTAGGCCTATGACGTGATTGGTGCTTATCGACTGAATAGATTACTCGTTTCTTCCTTATTGCTCATTCTTTTTCTGGTCTTTCATGCAGTCTAGAGGATGTATTCAAGAGAGTAGGCGTAAAATCGCCTCCAAATCAGTTTATAAAATATCTTACCTTCAGCTTTTTTTCTCAATCCTGGAGCAACATAGTTACGCCAATTTTGTGGATATACTTGTGGTTACTATTTCACTATCAGCAGATATGGACAAAGAGATTTCTTCAAAACTTGTCATCTTGGAAAAGCGCTTCTGCAAATTTGCAAGGTAGCACGTGTATGGGCCAGTAGACGGGCCAATGCATAAACGGCTGCAAAGAAATCATCATAATGAATGTCTTTGAGGAGCTGGCTACACAGATAAATCGGTCTATTGGTTATGATAAAGACGCACTAAACATCTATTTAGGAGTTCTTCGTGAAGAGCTAGAGCGTGGAATTGAACAGAGTCAGTTGCCGCAAGCAATGTTTTTTACCCTTATCCTACTTTATGGCCTAATGATTTGTATCGGAGCTATTGGAAACGCCATGGTAATTGGTATTGTAGTCGCTAGCCGAGTGATGCGCAGCAGTCCAAGAAATCTCTTCATCCTTAATCTTGCTGTCTCCGACCTGACACTATGTCTATTCACACATCCGCTAAATTTACTTAGACTCTTTGCTGCCTACCAGGAGTGGCGTCTTGGTTTGGTGCTGTGCAAGTTGACCTCCGTTTTTCAGGGGACAAACGTATATGTGTCCTCGATGAGCATTACTGCTGTTGCATTAGACAGATTTCATGTAAGTCCTGATTTCGGCTTCGATTCAGCTTATTATCTGGTATAAGTGTGAACGAATAATCCATCAGATACCAATATTACTTAGATTTTGGCACATTATTCTAATGTCTTCAATATTCCTTCCCACTTCAGCATTTTGCCTAAAGTTAAAGATCGTATAAATACATATATTTACTGGATAGCTTATACAAAGTATAATATTTGCGTTTTTGTTAATTAGGAATATTCATTATGTATTTCCATATTTTTATGGTATATAACACGAAAAAATGACTTACTTTAACATCAAAAGTCTCGCTTGTCACTGAACTATTTGTGGTACTAAATAGAAGGATTTGTATCTTTCCAATATTCTCAAAAGTTTTTTCATCACAATTTTATCTCTCTCCATCAAATAAATAAGGAATTTTCGTAGCCAGCGATATTTAATTTCTGGAACATTCTTGTCAATTTTTTTAATTATTATGAAAATCAACTGAGAGTATGAATGCATTGATT